GAGTTTTTGATTACCTGACACTGAAATTGTCATCACCAACATTAATTGATAAACCATTAGTATTTAAATCATTCCGAGCCTGATCAGTTTCTTTGACCATCAAGTTGAGGAGGTCAAGATTACTTTTTAATTCAATCAAATATACAAGTCTCAATGATCATGCAGAATTGAGCATTTTGTTCTGCCTTAAAATCTCTTTGCCACTAACATTCTGTGTAAGTTTCAGAAGAATGATACCATACTAAAATTTGTGGCCTGAAATTTTTCATCTTTATTTTATCCAATTTGACTTAACCTATCTAAAAAGCCCTGAATGGCCTTTCTATCAACAAAATTGAAATTAGAGCAATTTTCATGTTTTGGGGCTTGCTATGCCCAAAGACTGAAATCCAGTTCCAGACCCCCCAAAATATGAAAAAATATCTTCATATGAAAAAATTAAATTTAGTTGATTTCACTGATATAGTGTTACACATACCATTCTAGATCACCCTTGATGGCCTTTCTATCTTCAACCAAACTGAAATTAGAGCAATTTTCATGTTTTGGGACCATTATGCCCAATTATAGAAATCCAGTCCCAGATCCCCAAAATATGAAGAAAAAAAAAAGTCAACTTTCTTGATTTCACTGAATTCGTGTTTCCCATACACTTCCAACAAGCCCTCATACAACATCGTACCATGAATATTTCTCAAATTATTCCCAAATATTGCCATTCTGGGCCCACTGGGGAAGTGGGGTGTCAATGTATTGTAAACTTTTCCATTTATGATGATTTTTCTAAGTCTAGCATAAATGTGGTGCAAGACCGAAGGTATGGAGCACCCAATGAGGATTGAACTCCTTATTCATTTGTAATTGATCTAGTGTGACAAGCTTGTTTACCATAACACCAACTCAAAGTACCTAAATCTTTTCCATTTATTATTAGTAAATACAATTTTTATTTAATAACATTAGCTAACCACTACAAATTAATACAGAATTTTAAGATTTAAAACTTTATAAATTATTCTAATTAAAACAAAACAAAAACAATTCTTGCAAGTATTCATTATTCATCAAAAAAATTTTCTTGGCAATAGTGTTTATAAACGCAATTAAGCTTTTCTAATTAATGTCTTAGTTTTATTACATTTTTTATTTTACAGTGCAGAGCAGATTTTTCTGTAATTGGGGGTCCTGTTTGACAAAAACTTTAATTTAAATCCTCCAAGGACTTGTGCTTATAACTAATATTAAATGCTACAAAAATAAATTTCTTGAAATTTCATAATTAAATGAGGGGTGACAGACTTTTTTATAAAAAAAAGGAAAAAATTACAAAAATTTTTTTAAAAAAATGTTTAAAAATAATTTAATTCATTTGTGAATAAATCCTGAAAGTTACATTAAAATCCAACAGTTATCTGATTTTAGCTAGACTTTGCTTTTTACTGCAAAGGCACTCAAATATTGCGTACTAATTTATGGTCATCCATTGATACAAGAAAAACAATTTTTAACCTAAATTTTGAAGGTTCTAAGAAGGATTAAAAATTATTTAATCATAAAATTCTTTAGTCTTTCCTCTTGATAAAATTTTTCATAAAACTATTTTTTAGTGAATCTTTGGTGGTACATAGAAAATTCATATTGAAAAAAAAAATGTATTTCCATATGTAAATAAATTTTTAGGCATTTTTGAAACATTGGTATGTTTACTTGTTACTTATCAACTCAACAATCTGCCCTTATAGACAAAAAATATAAAGAACAAATTCAAAAATTGTAAAAATTCAATCCATATCCTAGACATGTTTCAATGTAAATTAGTAAAGTTTAGGATTAATTAACAGGATTTTGTAAAAGTAATGCTTACATTTTGCTTAAAACAAAAATAATATTTATTTATACAGGTAACCAGTGAGGTCATAGGTCAACAACAATAATTTTCTACTTTCATCCTTGACCTCAAATGCACATGAAAAATTATAGAATTTGGTATTTCAGTATCTGTCTATATTTCTGGGTATTATGTACACTATTTACATTATTCAGACTATTGTCCTCATCTTTGTTGCCATGTTTATTACGTTTTGGCTGTTGTATGCTCCGGCCTCCTTCTTCAGATGGTTGTCCACGTGCCATGTTTATGGATGTCACTTATCAGTTATCTCCTGTTAATTCCCCTCTCCAAGTTCTTCACTGCCTTACAAAATAACTGGGTATTATAAACCTAATGTCTTCAGCAATCTTTTTTTTTTTTTTTTTTTCAGTGCTCATATTGCAATTTTTGATGTTATCATTTCATTGTTTTTACCAGAGCTCATATTGCAATTTTTGTTGTTATCATCGCTTTTCTCTGGCACTCCTTATTACTGGTTCCTATATTGTGTTCATTTCTATGCTTGGTCGGCTAAGGAGATTTTTGTGGTCACCTGAAGAAGGCCAAAACGTTGTAATAAATATGGCGACAAAGATTAGGACAATAGTCCGAATAATGTAAATAGTGTAATTTGGTATTTGTTTAAAAAATAATTTATCTTTACCATTATGCAACCAGTAATTTAAGAATATAATCTTTTTTTCTATACACTTTTATCAAACTTGGAATAATTTTTATTTGTATATTACATTAGAAGGATAAAAAAGAAATTAATTAAAAACTGGTGAAATTCTACTTTTGAGTTTTTCATTGCTTTTATGGTCTGTTTGGTATCATAGAATATATTCTTTTAAAAATTATTCAACCACAAAAATGCCATTAAATTTACATATTTTGATTCTTCAAAATTGCACAAAAGGAAAATGTTCAATGTATTCAATCTGAAAGAAAATATTTTATTAAATTATGCAAGTATCAACTCTCTCGAAAGTAATTTTTTTTTTTTTTTTAGTTTTATTGAGTTATTTTTGTGGACAAATTTTTGGTATGTTTACATTTGATATTGTATAATTTTCTTTACTGAACATTTTCAGTATACAATTCATCCATTAATGAATAAGTACCCAAAATGTTGTTTGAATCTGATAATTCCCTGGTTTTGGAGAAATTTTTAAAAACTGAATAATGTTTCTCTCTTGGTATTTACTTTAAACATATTTCCTCATATTCTTAAATAAATTTATTCCTAAATGGATATGTACTGAAACTTTTATTGAAATCCAATAATTAGCTGCATCTAGGTTTAGTTTTCCTACAAATGTTCCTCAGTGCAAGCAAATCTGCAGACAAATTTCCTATTTTGTGCATTAGACACATAATTTCTACATCAGAATTTTACTTGACAATCCAGCACAGTGTGTGGCAAGAGATGTTGATCTCAGCTGTGTCTAAAATTTGCAAGTATAGATATAACTGGTAGATTATACAGTGAAAATATACAGTCATGATAGAAAACATGAAGCAATATGCCTAAAAAACAACAGTTCAAAATATGAATTGATGCTTAAAATGAAAGTGGATGAAATTGACCTCTTTCTATGTAAATCCTAACAAATATCAGTACTTATACCTAAATATAAGAAAGATGATGATGGTGGGTTAGAACTAACTATAAAGTGTGGATGATTAGATGGAAGTGACATTCAGTGTTGAATCATGAATTTACATTGGCTAAGGAAGTGATGGAATTTTTGTCTAGTGCCATTTAAAAGAAATGTTTTAAAATTAGTGTCTGAAGAAAACAAGCAGGTTTATCCCCTCATTTATGATATAGGGGGTTCATGTCAAATAAAAGATCAGGATGCATAACAATCATAGTCAATGAACACTTTTCTCATTCCATTGATAGAATAGGTTTGATGATGAATCATTTTTCAGGATAATGCATTTTGCTACAGAACAGAATGTATTAAAACTTATATAGGAAAGACAGGTGAACTTGGTCATATAACCAACAGTGCATTAAATTGGTATATTTCACAAAGCTAAAATATCCAGTTAGACAAAACCTGTTTTGTGTGTTATGTCTGTGATTTGATTTGCTATGAAATAAAAAGGTTGTATAAACATCTAAATGTGATTCCAGAATTTTTGCTAGAGATTGTAGCATTGCATGGGTAATAAATATTTTATGTAGCATCTTAAGTTGTACAGATTATTTTTAAGTATAAAAAATATCTGAAATTTTTACAACTTTCAAAGATTTTATTAACACATTTCATTCAACTGAACATATATTGTTAAAAACAACTTCATTTTTAGTGATCTAACCAGGAAAGCATTAAACATACTTTTCCATAAGATTTAAAAGATTTTACTTAAAATATAAAAACTGAAGATCTATAAAAATTGATAATCCAATTCTTCTGCATCTTTTAAGAGTTGGAATCCATAAATATCTCTGTTTACTGTAGAAGACACAAAAATAAAGTGTTAAAACAAGCTGCATGATTTGTTTAGCATTGTTCTGCTTGACTCTCAAAAGTATAATGCTGTTATTTTAAAGGGATTTGATATATTTTTGAAAAATTTGATTATAATTCTGCTTGTTTCTCTGTTGACATGTATGCTACATTCTTCCATTAACAATAAATAATAAGCCATTCCATTTTGCAAGGAAAGACAAGAAATATATCGAAGACGCTGTTTGATCTTAGTGAAAAAAAAAGACCTACATATAAATAAATGGAAGGTAAGATATTTAATGTCTGCTTCAGTGAAATGGAAGACCTTGTTAATTTTGGATCTTTTCATTTGTACTCTTGCTTCATTAAATAATGACCTGCATTCATATTGTTTTTTGCAATATTTTATTAAAGTTAAGCTCAAACAATTAATGATGCAATAGGGGAATTTCCATGTGTATTGTATAGTCCTAGAACTCACAGAGTGCTTATTCAACCATTTAAGAATTATGATTCATCAGAAGATTGAAATATGAAAACATTTTCATGGTTGCTGCTAGTTTTGTGTAATATTGCTGCTTTTTGCTTGTTGACTTTTTCAAATCTTATTTTTTTTTTATTTATTTATTTTTTTTTTTTTTTTTTTTTAGAATAATTGCAAATGTATGCAGAGGATGTCTGAAGAAGTTTTTAAGAAGGTAGAGTATCTAAATTTGCACCCTCCCCCTCATACTCCAATTATCTTAAACTAATAGCAACAAATAACTTTTAATCCTCAGAACTTTAATCCTATAATACAATAGAATTTACAATTAAAAATATGCTTTTCAAGTGGCTATTCAAATTTATAGAAAGATAAGTGAAAATTCTTTTAATCTTTTGTATAATAATCAAAATTTTCTAAAAAAAAAAAAAATAATAATTCATGCAATTTTAATAATTTTCATAATTTTTTAATAGGAAAACCAAGTTGTGTGGTGTACAAATTTTGTTTTGACTTCTATCAAAGAATGACTGAAATAATTTTCTATTATTGGATTTCTTTTTTCTTTTTTTTCTTGTTACAGAAAAATATTCTACAATTTTGCCTTGTCTATCTTTATATGCAATGTTTCTCTTGGTTCATGCATCTATTTTTGTTTTCTTTTTCTCTTTCAGTTCTTGGTATTCCTGGCGAGTAACCTTGATGAGAACAAAGAGCTGCTAATGTTGGTACAAAAGCGGTATGATGAATGTAATAATACATTTCGTATATCTGCAAATTTCCAAGCATTGATTAATGATGTGCAATCAAAAATTGAGATAGAGAAACATCGAATATTCGTGCATCTTAAAGACTTTCTTTCAAAATTAAAATCTCAGAGAGTTGAATCTAGTGAAAAAAAACGCAAACAAGATGGCTTTTGTAACAATCTTGCAAAACGGTTGTGCACTGGCAACTCTTGTTCCGATATCAGTTCAGATTCAGACTTCTTCAAAAAGGTCAAACGAAACAGTAACAAAAAATATTTGAATGATCTTTCTTCTGTCAAGTCTGATAGTCCAAATGATGTTGATGCTAGTAACTCGTCATTCTCATCTACAGTTAAGAAAACAGAGGAAAATTCGAAGATGGGGATGGGCAAGTCTAGTGACAAACCCTGGCCAATTTCGGATGAGGAATCGTTATCACTGGACTCTGTTAGGTCGGAGACAAAATCTTCGGACAACTCTGATTTACCTTTGTATTTGAACTCCAAATTCTCCCAGGAACCAGAGTCTGTTTCCATTGATTCAGTATCATCAGAGTCTAAATGTTCACGATTGACTTCTTCTCCAAGCACCAGTAAATTAAGCCTTAATCTGAAAACTAATACCCCCTTGCCTAAGTCTTTGTCTGAAAATGCAAAATCTGCTACTGAACTCTCTCAGGACCATGTGTCTGAGGCTGTACCAGAGACACATGTTGTAATTGATGATGAGGTTTCTTGTTCTGACCATTCATTGCCTTCTGAAACTCAGGTACCATCCATTACTGAAACAAAAAATACAGTCACTCTGGAGAAGGCTGAAAGCATTGAAAATATGGAAGGCCAGAAGAGAAAAAAAGGCTCTGAACGACAAATTAAACGCCTGGAAAAACTCCTTGGAGTAAGTATCTATATTGCTTCTTGAAAGTGAAGAAATTTATAGAAAGTAAGGATTATTATTGTTTACATCATTTATCTAGATAAAGATGGCTGTATATCTTATATATTTTATCTATTGTGCTCATTTTATCATTAATTGGCATAAATTCCATATTAAACGTAACATAAATATGAAATTTAAATACAAGTGTATCATTAATGTGGGGGCATAGAAATACTATTATTCTGTATTACATTACATGAATTTATTACAAATATTTACATTTATATTATTAGATTTGCTAATTCATTTATACATTAGCACAAATTATTGCCTTTGTTTATGTATTGTAATATTTTTAAAGACAAAGTATTTTTGAATATGTAGAAGTGCTTCCATTCCTAAGTTATTTTGAATTGTTTATTTTTACTTCTCTATAACCAATTATTTTCTGTTAAAATTCAAACCGTATTAACAATAATTGTGCTTATATATATTATTTTATTCCTATTATTAAATAAGAATTGGTATATCAGATGATGAATCTTTTACTATTAAATTAGATCCATTAAATTAAAAAAGAAAACTTATAATTTATATATAAATAAATGTGTACTGCTATAGATTAATATTGTATATTATATCTGGTCAACATTGCCAAAATCAGGCTTCACTTTGAAATGCCTTATGAAGTTGTTATAAAGGATGCAATTCCTTAATTTTCTCTTTGTTTCTTTGACTTTGACAAAATTAAAGCTTTAATTAATTTTAACATGAATCTTGTACCTGAAATTGAAGTGATCTACTTTTGTTAAATTTCAACTCCTTCAGAGAGGTTTTTGCAATTTAGTAATTCCCTTTTGGTTTGGAAGTGGTCTAGTGTTTTGTTCAGCAACCTTCCTAGAGATGGTGTCTTACTAAGTACTCAGCCTCCTGTGCTATGAACAGGTTAATAGTAGATGAGTTTGCCTATCACTTGACCCATGCTTCCATGTTTATTGAACAGGAGTTGAGGTTTGTCCCCTTTTTAGAATGTGGTTTACTGGTTCCTTTCTTTTGTGGCCTTAATGATTTAACTGTTAACTTTTTGGTAATGTGACTCATGAGTGGATACGACTTTTCATTTTGAGGCTACCAGGTTGACAGTTCTCTGGTTGCTGCATCCCAACTAGTAGCAAGGAACCCGAACTCTTTGGTACTACTTAGAGGCTGCTCTGGTCAAACAGCTGCATAATATCAGGGTATTTGCAATGCTATGTTGTGTATGGATTGGTGTCCCTGCATGTATTTCCTGAGGCCACATTATACTTTAGTTTTAGCAACTGTCCAGCTGGTTTGTATTGCCACTGACTGATAATTGTTTTTTGGACTTTTTCTCTTTAAATGTTAAAATAACAACCTTTATTTTTCCAGTATTTGTGGTATCCATATCAATTTCTCTAGTGTAGAATCTTTTTCTCTTGAAAATGTTCTCTAGATATATTAGCAATTTGTGAAATTTATTTAAACTCTTCTATAACTACTAATTAATTCTCTCTTCTAGGCTATTTACCTCTTTGTTGAAAAGATTCTAAGATACATATACATGGCTTTGGTTTTTACATCTGGGAAAATCTTCTAATAACAAGGGAATCCTCTCCTGAATCCTTGGATAATTTTTTAATATGATTTTGACTTTCTTTATTGCACTCTTTTAGCTACTTCTTTTTTTTCCTTTATTGTTCTCCTTCTTCTCAGAACTCTAACATATTAGACAAAATATCTGACCAAAGACAAATGGCTCTCTCCTTATTCATCTGTAAATATCTTTGTTTTTAATGTTTATCATGTCATTTTAATGTTACTAGTATTCAAAAAAAAAATTTCATAAGACAATAGTGTTTTAATATCTCTTGTTTATAAAAGCAATTAAAAACTTTTCTAATTAATGTCAGTTTTCATTTTTTTATTTTACGATTTAGAGCAGATTTTTCGGTAAATGGTGTTTATGTTTGGACAAAAACAAATTGATGCTTTAAATTCTTCAAGGAGCCCTGCTTTTAACTAGTAAATATGAGGGTAGAATTTTAATTTCTCAATTTCATAAAATTAAGTAAGTGGAGCTGGTAACATTTTTTTTTTTTTTTTTTTTTTTTTAAGTTAAAAAATAATTTCATTCATTAAAAAGTTCTGAAAATTTCATTAAAATCCAACAGTTATTTGATTTTTATAAGAATTTAAAAAAAAAAATATTCATTTTTTTACTGCAAAAAATGCTAAATTTCTCATACTAATCTTTGGCCCACCTGCTGTCACAAGAAAGACAAAATTTGTTATGTGCTTGAAAGGATTGAAAAATTTAATAAAATTACCAATAAATGCTGTGGTCTTTCCTCTTAAACACTTTGACAATAAAACTGTTTCTTATCAAGTTTGAGGCCTTTTTTCATCATGGTATACTCTTTTATTTTATTTTTTTTTTTTTTTTTTTTTTTTTTTAGAGAATTTTTGGAGTTGCCTGTCATTTATATTTTTGTTTAACATCACAATTCTGATCACACTTTAGTATCTGTTAATATTTCTTTTGACTTGTCTATTCAAAAGACTTCTTTGTTACCAGCATACCAATTGGAATTCATTTTGTGATTTCCTTAGAGTGAAATTTCTAACCTTATTGAGAATTGTACCACAGAGGTTTCTGCTTGTGTAAAAGCTGGCATTGATGCTTTTGTACCTTGGTAATATTGGGTGAAATCACAATTTTCTCTTTGGTTCACAATTGGCTGTTCAGCCTTCATAGCCCTTTGGAATAACTTTCTCAGGATGTACCAACATGATAGTTCTGATCACAACAGATGCCTCTTTGTGTCTGCTTGTAGTAATTGTAAATGCATCCTCAATAAGACTTTGTTCGCTGACAGAATGAGGTACTATATAAATTCTAATAAGTTTGTTTTATATATCTATTGATGGCTCTGAAATAGTGTGTTAATAAATACCCTATCCCTTCTCTCTTCACTCAGTTTGAGATGTTATCTTCTGCTAATAAAGCAAAATGCTTTGTTTGTAAATTCTCTTTCAATTCTACTCTTGATTCATCTTGATTATCTTTGCCTAATTATTCATTTAGTACTGAATCTCTATTATGATATGCATAGAACTCTGTTCATGGTTTCTGCTATCATCTCTAAACTGGATCTCCACAAAGCAATACTCTTAAAGAAATGTTCTCCTGAAATGGCTCCTGTTCTCTCTAAACTTTACAATAAATACCCTGCTGCTTCTTGGAAATGCTTTTCTGTAGTTTCTGTTTTTAAGATCTTTGGCAAACCATTTTATTCTTTGTAACTATTGACCTATTATTCCACCACTTTTTGTCAAAGTACAAGAGGTTCTAATCAAATCTGAATTGGTTGAGCATCTCACCTCACAGTGTCTTCTTTCTGGCAAACAATATGGCTTTTGCTTCTCTAGTTCAATTGCTGATATGTTAACAGCTATTGCTGAAAAAGTCTGTCAAGCTTTAGATAAGAATGGTGAAGCTGGGGCTGTTGATTTGGATATTTCTAACATGTTTGGCATGCTTTTTTTTTTTTTTTTTTTTTTTTTTTTTTCCATAAATTGAAAAGTTAAGATATTTCTGAATGAATCTTTAATCTGATTCAATCTTTTTCAAATTGTTAATTGAAAGTCATCTTGAATGACTACTCTTCTAATTCAGGTGTTCCCCAGGGCTCTATCTTTGGGACTACTTTATTCCTAAGTTCTCAACTCTGTATTTATGCTGCTCACACAAGTATTTACTTTTGTCTTAATTGATAAGACTGAGTTCAATAAGGTCAAAATTGGCTGTTGATCTCAAAAATGGGATTGATCCCATTGTTAACTAGGGCAAGAAATGGCTTGTTAATTTTAATGCCTCCAAAATAAAACTGACTCATTGCAGGTATCCCAAACTCAAATTTTTATTTTCAGTATATCTAAAGACCTTTTAATACAGACATAGAGAGCTTGACAAAACACAAAAATAGTACAAATTTATTTTGGTAGCTCATGGAGAAACCAAGTTATGAGAGTTCCAATTTGGTCAGAACTTAAAATTTCAGTTTTTTCTTTAATGCCACTAAAACAGAAGGGTTTATAGGGTATGGAAGAATTAAGAACAGATAGAAGTATTAAATGATAAGCATAAAGAGAAGAGAGTAATCAGGTGGGCAGTAGATAGTGATTGACATTGCTTTTAAATATTTGTAGATTAAAGTTAGCTGAAAAGCATGGAACCAGAAAGGAGTTCCACAAGTGATAAGTGAGAAGAAACCATCAACATGGAACTTATGGCTACTTCTAGCCTTTCTCAACTATAAATTGATGATATCTTGATGCCATTCTAGTGCTGCACTTAAATTAAAAAAACTCTAGGTACCATAACAAAGATCTCACTTGAGCAATTACCATGAAAATATTTATAGAAAAGATATACAGAGGTAACCTTATGGCAGTGGGAAAGTAACTGGAGCTGATTTGCCAGATCAGGACCAATAATATTGCAGATTGTTCCTGGAATTTTATCAAGGAGCACAAAGTAAATAGCAGAGGCACAGGACCATATGTAGCAGCAATATTCTAAACGTGGACTAATGGTAGACATATATGTAAGATAGACTCTGGAGAGAAAAAATTGTCTTTCCTGACACCAGCGTATAACTGAAGAATTGGGATTCAAACAAGTGAAATATCATTATAAATGTAATGTCATAGGTAGTCTTGAAGTAAAAGGAAGATGATGTTAATGGAATCAATAATTATTAGATCCAATCAGCTTAAACATTTGGGCACATTGTGTTTTCAATTTCAAAATAGTTAATAAAAAAAAATGACTTAACATAGCAATTATGACTGCTTATGTTTCATTTCAACAGTTAATGCCTTGCAATTTCTTGCTATGATTCATAGCACAACAAATGATTTTTTTTTTTTTTTTTTTTTGTAGTACATCAATAAAAACTCATATTTACAGCAAGTAAAAACTACCAGACATGAAA